ACTTTTTATTTAGAAATGCATCTTCAAAGGAGTTGCACCAATATTGCATTTTTTCCTGTATCTGCAAAAGGGAAAGAGAGACACGGAGATGATACATTTAAATCTGGTATAAGTACCGTGTACAACCAAATGAGTGATGACCCAACATTCATCAAACTTCACCTATCCTAATTATCCACATATATAGCTTTCTAAACTCATTGTTAGCTATGACACTAAAAATATGAAGACAACTTCAGCTATCCTAATTATTAGAAAGATCTCTCTCACACAGTGGGTATGAGTTATAATGCCCACCAGCTGATATGACATTTCCACATCAGTAGGTCAAACATTTTTTCTTTTGAAAAGTCAAAAACATATGGCTTGATCGCTAATGTTGCAACGCCATATTTGCGGTGGGTAGTCGTCATAATTATACACAAATAGCTTTCCAAACCCATTTAGCTATGATAATAATAATAAACGGAGACAACCTTTCATAAATATCAAAGACTTGAGATGTTGTCCTAACATATTATATATGATCCCCCATCTAAGAATCCAGTGTTTGCCCAAAAAAAAAAAAAAGCAATCCCCATTCCCCAGATGGATCATTTTTAGAATACCATACTCGTACCTGAACTTTGATCTGATTTAATGCTGGGGTGCCTTTTGCTTCTTCGACAGCTTCCCTTAGCTCCAGTATCTGCATCCAAACTCACTGGTTACTATCATAAAGCAATTTCATGAAATAGCAACTCAACAACAAATTCTGAATTTTTGCGTAGAACCACTTGATCTAAGAGTTTAAATTGCTAGGTACAGTCAAATGCATATCATTTAAATCTTATTTTCAACACATCCCAAGTCCCCTCATGTGCAGGCAATACTCACTTTTTTCCATCAAAACCTAACACATGCACTTTTTTATTAATTGGATGCCAAGACATTTGCCTACTTTGTTACTATGTTGAATCACTTTATCTAAAAGTTTAAACTATTGAATATAGCCAAATACATATCATTTAAATATTATCTTCAACATGACCTCAATAATGAGAACATATTATATCAATATTTTGAAAAATGTTCATATCAAGTCCATTTGTCAATGTAATCTTATAATATAAATATTTTGTTTGAAATCAGTATACAATAAATTGTAACTATTAACAGCCTCACATACTTTACCAATATCAACCTCCTCCTATATCCCACCATATCCCTTCCCAAGCCTTCTTTCTCCGTCCCAAAAACTCACTGAGAACTTTACAGAATCTCTATCATACAGAATGGAAAATCATCTCCCTTTATCCTGCCATTTCCCTTCCCCAGCCTTCTCTCTCCATCCCCCAAAAAGTCTCATTATGAACTTCTCAGAATTTCAATCACAACACAGAAGATGGAAAAGAAGAAATATAAATAAATAAAGTCTACTATTAACTGAAGGTTACAAACGGTCAATGCCTAGATTGATTTTTATTCCTGCTAAATGCTGCTACTAAGATTAATGAAAAGATTCTTGCATTTATTTGAATCCTCCAAGCACCTAATTAATGAGGACCAGACAGCAATTCCTTATAAGCCTAAAGCACACCAACAGGGGAGATGTACACTTCATAATGCACTAAATTCTCAAAATCAAATCGATTAAAGAAAAAACAAATAAGAAAGGTAAGAAAAATTCAAACATAGATCCTTTGAGGCTTAAAATTACCTCAGCAAGCAATTCTGGGTCTGTGATCCTTTCTTCTTCATTCACAACAACATTTTCTAGCTTCAACTATATAGAACAGGTAAACAAGTTTAAAAGAAAAGATAAAGGAAAATGCAACGTGATGAGTCATAGAAGTATAGCCAACACAATGCTAAACATAAGGCAAAGGAAGAGACTGACAATCAAAACATAAAGCAATAGGCCACGCGATGACTGGTAACGGAGGCAGTTAAAATTTTTATCATTCATCATGAGAGGGCAGAACTCTTTCACAATAACTGTCATTAACAAATATCCACATACCAAAACAAGGATACTTAACCACTGCACTTCACATTTTTTCTTCTTCTCTTTTATTTTTATTCTTTTTTTTCACATTTCCACCAAGATACCAAATTTCTTTTGGTACTTTCATCATATCTTCACATTAAGATACCTCAACTGCCCCCATGAGATGCGCTTAGCTGGGTGCATATAAATGATAAAGAAAAATGAAAGCGTTAAAGATCAAACTTTACCCAACATGAACGAGATTTCTTTTCTTGTTTGATATCTCAAGGGCAAACATAAACTCAGGACTGCCAACAACTAAACATTCTAGGTATTCTAATTTCTATTGTCACCTGGCAGAAGTACTTGTGTAGTTGAATAAACACTCGACAAATCTAAGGCAGTAATTTCATGATCGAGTGAAAAACATCGGCTATGAAAACGGAATATAAACTTACAATATAGATTGCTCTGGACAATGGGTCCGTGAGTGTACGGTATGCATCATTCACACGAGCAGATTGTTCAGCCGCATACTCCCTTTCTCTCTGGTTCGAGAAGAACTCAAAAATCATTTATTTTTAATGCAGCAGAAATTTTCAATGTAAAGGAAAATCAAGGGATGCAATCCACAGTATCAACCTGGGATTTCGAATGAACTAGATCAGGATGCAGCTTCTTTTGCCAGTCTTTGTACTTCCCCTCTAATTCAGCCACTTCAATGTTGAATTTCCTTTCCCTGTGAAGGAAGCAATTGCAAAGAAGTCTTCTATGTATCATGATTATTTAGAACATATAAATTATTACAAACGTCCATTTTCCTCAATAGAATAATTACAGTGAAACTTAAAACTATGTTTGGCAGCTAAACAAATAAATAGTGTGTTAAAAAATCATGGATGATCGATTACACGAAAACAGGTTACAATTCAAAACAAGAAAACTAAAACTATAGGCACATTATCAAACATTAAACTATTAAACCTATTTAAGCTAATATATTTTACCATTAATTTGCCCCAACTAGACCAAGTAAACGACCAACGAATGAAGATAACCCAAAAATCTTACACTCCAAGAATTTGATAATAATCGATCGAGTGATTCACGGGCTGGACACTGCGACAGGCTTGACAGACCAGAAACAGCGTCGTACCATCAGCAGTGGCACCGCAACTCCAGCAATGGAGTTTCTTAGCGGATTGCGACTCTGAGCAGAAAGAATTCTTCTTTCTCACAAATAAGTTAACATTTTCCTTATGAAACCTTGAGCCTCCAAAATAAAGGCCCCCGGCAGTAGGATAAAGTTCTTCAATTTCGCGAACAAAAGGAGGAGAAGAAGAATACGAAGCAGAACTTTGGAAGAGGGAATTCAATATTGGAGTATTTCTGTGAGAAACTGAATTTGGAGATTGGATTTTTGCTAGTTTTGTTGTACTTGTGGAGAAGGGTTTTGAAGTGTTAAGCGTCCTCTTCCACATATTCTGCTGTCTGCGGTACAAATGGTGACGAATGAGGATGGTACAACGTTTAAAATGTAAAACATACAAGAAACTGTGGTAAAAAATCCCAATTTTTTTTTCTGCATGGATTAGTGACAATGTTTTTTATAGTTGATTTTCGACAATCGCTGTCAATTTAGCCTGGATTAAAATCAAAATTTTGATATAAATTTATGAAATATATAATTGAAAAAATGTGGATCTCATTAAATCACCAAAGGAGGAAGGTATAATTGATCTCTTTAATATAAATCGACGAAGAAAGTACCCACGATCCCATACGAGAAATGAAGAGACTTAGTCCTATCGATTGAATTTAATTAGTACTATGAACTCGTAAATTTAATTTAATTTCCACCAAACAGGAGATTATTGTTCATTCTCTGTCACTCAAATATCATTGAATCAACGATTTTGTTAGCCACATTTTCGAAATCATTAAATACACATGCAAACTCAACTTAACGACCAGTGGTGGACTTAAGGGTGGCCGCCCTAGCTGGATTCGTCGAAGAGAATTTTTTTTTTCATAATAGATAAAAATTTTAGGTTATATAACTGATAGTTCATTTTATTTTTAAACCCCTTTTTTGCTTAGTTGGTTAGAGCATATATTTTTATATTCCAAGTCTTGGGTTCGATTACTTCCCATCCATTTCATTGTGCAAAATTTTTATTTCTACAATATTTACCAAAATTAATTCCCTAAGGAAAGGATTCAAACCTATAACTTCTAATTTGAATAATTGGAAGCTTAACCATCGTGGCAATGGTTGAATTTTGAATCTAAATTTAACAAAATAATATATGTTAAGACTCTAGGCGAGTCAATGACTATTTTTTTTTTATTGGTTTTTGTCGTTTCAAATATTTTATACTTTAATAATTTATAAGATATGACTTATGAGTATTAAGTTTTAATTTATATGTTATTTGAGAATTTGTCTATTATGAATTGTGATATTAAAAATTAATTTGAGTATCGTGAAATGTGAATATATGATTTATGAAAATTGAAAATGAGAAATTGAGAAATTTATAATTTGTGATGAATTGGTGTTGAGAATTGAAAATTGAAACTTTAATTTTTTTTAAAATTAATTTTAATTACATTTAATCTTTGATTAACGTTCAATTCTCATACTAATTATGAAATTATTTTTTCAATTGAATCTCAATATAGTTCTTGTAATGGTGTATCTAATCTATCAAATATTTTTAGTCAAACAAATGATTTGTTAAGCATTGATAACACAAAGAAGATTTATGTATTATGTAATTTATATTATTTCGGATTGTATTCAAATATAATATGATATAAATATACGATTTTTACGTTTTAGTGTATTTAGGTATAGATCGAAGAATTTTTAATATTATTTTATTTAATATTAATAAACAATATCGCTATACGGCCGTTGACTATCGATATTTAACGGCCAACGATCAACGGCCGCCCTAATTGAGTCGAAGTCCTGAATTTGCCCCCTGTTAACGAAACATTTTGGAAACCGAACACTACATCCGAAGAAAGAAAAGAACACTCAAAGCTTTGTATATATTTCTTCTACAATTTTATTTTTCTTACGTTCGAACTGCAGAGCAAATGACAATATTGTAAGAATGATTATAATTATACTAGTGTACAAGAAGTTGGATTTCAGCTCAAGAAGCCAAAGGCAAGTGTAAATCTATGGTCCACCTTCAACAATGGAAGTTATTCAGCCATCGACTTTCCAGGAATGAAAGTCAAGCAGCAATACCTCGACTTCTTTCTTTTGACGGTTCTCTTTTCAGCAATGTCATCAGTCTCTAAAACTGTGGCCTCGGTGCTTTGATTCTTGGAAGAATCTATGGCAATGTGATTAATCTCCAAAATTGAATGATCTTCATCTGGTGAAGCTGGTGCTATCTTATTATGGCTAGTATCCTTGGATCCTCTACACCTGAAATAGGAATAGTTACAAATAATAAAAGCATTTTTAGATCGTAAATCTGGGGCATCTAGGCCTTTTTGATCGAATATTACCTGGAACCATGACTGCCAGAACTGTTCCTGGGCTCGTGCAAAGTCATCTCTGTGGATCCTGTTTTTGACAATCCAGTGAGATTCCAGTCTTGTCTACATATTTGATCAGCTTCTGAGGACACTGACTCTTTTGCACCATCAGTTTCTATATTGATGGACTTCGCAATGCTGATGCCTGGACGAGATCCCGTTTCAGGATTGGATCTGTATTCCTGAAAAATGGAAATCGCCTTTTCTAATGTTTCTAGAGCCTGTTCGACCTTGGGGCTAATAACAACTTTGTTATTCTTGTCGACCAAAAATTTGGGTCTAATCTCATTTGTCAGGTGATTGCCCGGTTTCTTGATAAACTCATCTACTAAGTCAGTTTCTCCAACGTCAATTTCCCCAATCTCCTCAATTTCACAAAGACCATTTTGGTCTCTGACAACTACATCCTCTGATATTGAATCAACAATATCAATGTCATTGCTACGAATATTCTCCTTCATATGATAATCTTCTCTTGCCTCTGTTTGTTCTTCAGCCATAATGGACGTCTCTTTCTGCAGTCCTTGTTCAGGAGCCTCAACAGTTACATTCTCTGAATAAAGAGCCTCGCGTATGCGAGTGTAGAGTGGGTCTTTTAAAGTCTCCCTAAATTCTTTGTCACCTTTCGAAACTGAAGCAACTTCCTGTCATTTCCAAGAATAGAAAGCCTGAGAGGGGGGGCACAGTACAAAAAGCTGCAAGAGTAAAATCAATATCTTGCATTGGCCAATAGTACAGGAACACGTTAGGCTAAGCTTCAAAGTAAAAGATCTTTTAAGTAAAAAAGTAACTTATCAAAATAGGCTCGAAAAAGTTATTTTTTTTCCTTACTAAATGAAATTTCAACACTCACAGGTCTTCACCACTCGCCCCCCAACCCCTGGGCAATGCAGAAAAAAGTTTCAAGTAAAAGTTGAAATATTGATATCAACAGTGGCATATCCATGGAATAACTAAATTAATCTAGTGAGTAGAACTGTCAAAAAATTGGATTAACCTTTTTATAGAGCTTGAAACCGCTACCAATGAGCTGCCTTGAGATAAAATTGATGAATGCTGGAGGAATAAAGTCCAATTTGATATCCATGTTTGCAATTGTCCTGCAGTAATTTGAAAGTATGATAGGAGTTTGAATTAGGCCCTGTTTGATTGGTTCGAATTCCATGGATTGTGTGTTTGACATGTTTTATTTTCCATGGAATTGTATTTTCTTGCTTGTATTGGGACTTGGTATTTCCTTGTTTTGAACTGTAGCATATATTTTTATTTTTATTTTCGTTTTTTTTTTTTGGGAAAGTTAACCAATTCTAAGAATTATTGTAAAAAAATATTTCCCTTCAATTGACAATTCTTATGTAAAACAAAGTCAAACGAATACCAAAATATATATATATATATATATATTTTATTTTTTATTTTTTTTATTTATTTATTTATTTTTATTTTTTTTTTTGCAATGGAAACAAATTTCATCCCCAATACCAGTAAATTTTATCCATTTAATTGATAATTTTCATATAAAACAAACCCAAACGAACACCTAAAAAACACTTTTTATTTCAACATTTTCCACATGAAAAATTATACCAATCAAACACAATAATTTACAATTCCCAAAAAAACAATTTCTTGGTAATTCAATTCCCTGGAATTCGTTTTCAATTCAATTCAATTCCATCTTTACAATCAAACGTACCCTTAGAGAAAAGTCCGACAATTTGAACAGCAGAATATGACACTATCATTCTGTATGTACTGTATATGCCATTGCAAAATCATTAAACCCTGTTTGGCCCTCATTTTCTAAAACTCATTTTCAAGCACCCATTTTATGGGATTCATAACTTTTATCAATTTTTCAATCACACGTTTCATGGATCCACAACTTTTATCAATTTTTTAACCAAACATTTCATTAACTTTTAACAAAATCTATAAGAAAGTNATGTTTTTCATAGCCGGTCTCAAGTTTTGAGAATTTAATGATAGCCACAATATAATGGCAGTTTTCAAACAGATGCGATCTCGACAACAAAGTTAAGATTGCAAGCTTGTTTATTTCCTTCTCCTAATCACACGCACATAAGGGGGAAATTGATTAATACCAGAATGTGACATGAAATTGTCATAATTTTTATTTGCGTTGGCACTATATCTTACAAAATCATTCACATAAAACAACATAGCTATCAAGTGCAAGTAATGGAAAAAGAAATGAAGATCAAAGACAACTTACCGGAAGTAGCTCCTGTCTGTAGTCACTTTTTGTATTGCAAAGCCTCCCACTACATCAATTCTCACTACATCCTGTGCATCAGGTATTCCATCTCTGGTGAAACCATGTGTACTTATCTGGATGGTCTCTGAATCGGAGATCTGAAAGTCATTATTCAATGTTACTTTTCAATTCAGAAAGCCACGTCTTGGTTGAATGGGACAAAAACGGTTAATTTACCGAATTAAGAAGCACAACAACTAGCCCGTCTTCAAAGTATTCAAATGCGAAATAATGTGCTAGAACCTCTCTGCTTGATAATGGCCATGAAACTTTCATCCTTTCTTCCCAAGAATTAGATATATTTCAGTATCTTAAGAGGCATGCTTATGAAAACCACTCGGGAATAAGTTCTTGTACAATGACATACCTCACTAACGATATTTGTTCACCAGTTCTAACTCTTTGTAAACACTGGGATGAAACGATTTTGAAAGTTGGAATTGCAGTTTGAGGCCACCTAGTAGAAAACAATAATCGACAGTAACATTAATCTATAGTCCTCACGGTGGATTTAGTTTGTTTCCTACATTTAATGTGCACAAACCACCATATAACTATTTATTGCATCAAGAAAGAAGAAGCTTGTAGCAAGATTCTGATTACCCAACTAAATTATTTATGCGGAGAGCTGATGTTATATTAGAAAAGGCAGCAAGCCAGCAACTTAGAAACTTATACTATGTCCCAAACCTTAAGGATATACAGTTTAGTGCAGCTCTCACCATTTCTTATAGAGGCTCGACTCCCATGATATACACAGACCTGCAATAGATTATGGAACTTGAGTTAAAAGATATGAACTCGTAAACGCCTCAAGTGACTGTGTACGCAGCAAATGATAAAACTGAAATTGTTGGAGCATTGTAATTTAGCTTACAAACATCTAGTGGACCATCCACGTAGCCTTCAACAAGTAGCGTGTGAAAGGGAGTGCCTTCTGGCCCTTCTCGGTACATAACCCTAAACTCTTCCGTGTCCTGTTTTACCTGCAAAATATGAAGGATCAGCAGTAGCGTTCTCAACCTTCTTTTCCAAATTCCATCAAAAACAGAACAATGAAAACATATCTAGTTGAAAGGATGCTTATCATGTCCAAAATGGGATGAGTTTTCATGCAATAAAAATTGAGCAATTTTTAAATATCAAAAGTGAAGCCGAAAGGATTGGCATCATGAAAATTCTCAACATCCCAAATTTGGGTAGGCTTAAAATGTTGATAATATCACAAAAGCTCACTAATGATGAATCAACACCAATTTCCATGACGAAAATGGAATGAGGAAGATTATCAATGCCAAACAACATACTTTCCAGCCACGGTCTGATTCCTCACTGAATTTTGATCTCTCAGTGCTATCAACCGACGCACTCCTCAACATATCAAGAAAACTGGACACTTCTTTACTTCTTCTTTCCACTACATTGTTAAAATGTTCTGCAAATCACATATAACATAGTCTGTGATGTCTTAAATATGACCTTAATGCCTAATTGATGATGTTAGAACATTATAAGTCAAGAATATCCAAACCTCCAAGTTGCAAATCCACGGATGAGCGCAAAAATTGATTCTTCACTATTGTCTTGATTGTTTCTTCATTTGCCAAGCTCTGAGATGCCAGTGTCTTGTCCAGCTTACGTCTGTAATCTGAAATATCAGCTTTCATCCCCATATTTGCAAATCCAAGCAAAAAGGGAAAATTGGTCGCTTAAATCCTGACGAGACAAAAATGGACAAATTGCTTTCTTCATCATCGCAAACCAAAAAATAATGCATTTATACGCATATAAATTGAAATGTACACAATACAACCATTCCTCATTTTTTTCTATAAACAGAACTTAATTCAAGCCAAAGTCAACATACTTGGAAAACCCACAAAAGAGAACTTTTTCTATGGTCTTTTTGTCAAAGAAACTCAATTATTAACTAATTACTGTATAACGCAAGCAAAAAGGTTGTCTTTTTTCTCTTTTGAACAACGATTGACCTTCTCATATATAAATATACAACTACTTGAACTTTAGAGTTTATTTCCAAGTGAAAATAATTATCCAACATAAGCATTCAAACGATTAGCTTTAAGTTTTTTTTAACAGAGATTCAAACTCAATCCACAAATATACCAATTATTTAATCACAACGAAAAAAGCAACAAACAAACTGAATACATGAACATTATCTCACAATCAATATCAATCATTAGTCAAGAAAAACTCACTTGCAGCTGAACTCAGAACACCCCAGATTGCGTTTTAATTTAATAAATGATAAAATTGGAATTTGATGCAGAAAAATTGCAGATCTCCAAGAGAAATTAGTGGATAAGGGGACAAGATCAGCTGACGCGAGACCACCTAGGCGGATTCTTAACATGGGTTTTTCTTGAAGAAAACGAATACGCGGACACGCATCAGAATAATCTGTGGCCTTCACCTTTTCGAAAATCTTTTAAGGAACAAAAGAAAGCCCGTCAATTAACGTATACTTACCCGTCTGTGTGTCATTTTTTGTTTGTAAAGATAAATAGTTAATGCTCGTTGAAACGAATAGTAGTTGATTAGCAACAAATCTAATTATATCCGATTGACTAAGGTAAAGTTTCGTGTGTGAATTTATAATTGCTTCTCCACCCTATTTGTGCGAGTCGGCCCTATTTGTGTGAGTCGGGGATTGGAGTTAGGTCCGTCCGAAGACATTCTTGTAGAAGACTAAATTCTGTAAAGAAACCTAATCGTGAACACGGATTTTTTTGGATTACGAAAGTGAAATTATTCAGGAATTAAAAAATATCTTTAATTTAATAAATAAAATCAGCTAAATGTTCGTGCATGTGTTATATCAAGAATAAAAGATTTAAACTTTTACCTTAATTCGATCGCCAATTCTTTAATAAATTCTAAATCATAAATTTCCATCTTTTTAATTTCAACAACTTGATGTTTCACACCTCCAAATTTTTTATGGTATTCATTAAAGTGAAGACCACATGAATGGTTGGACACCTTTTAATTAAATTAAAAAACTAATTCTTGAATTGGACAATCGAATAATGCAAGAAAAATAATTTTCTCTCCCATTTTCTCTTTCCAAATTTGAATACTATGAAATTATGTATTATGATTTTTGTACAATTTTATGGGATGTCTAATTTTCATTTAATCCTATTTACAGAGATGTAATAGCTACAATCTTTGTATAATAATAATTCTGCATTCAAATAAGAGTTTTAATTAAAGTTTAAGTAGGAGTTTTATTTAAAGTCCAAATCCAATAAGTTTATATTTAATTACATGTGTAATCTTAAAACTTTAATTATAATTATGATTAAGTTTACAATTTTCATTAAGTCCATTATTATAATTACCGTAATTAAGTTTCAACACTTTATAGAGCTACCCAACTTATTTTTTATCGAAATATAAATTGTGTCAAACTATAATTCTCAACACAAGTACACAATTTATATTATCACAAGCAATCACGGGCTCTTCTATTCACATTCTTAATAATAAATAAAACCAGAATTTATTTATTAATTATTAGTTTATTATAACAAAATATATTGTATGACGACACAACCCAATATATCAGACTATCTATTTTTGTCCTATAAAATTGAACAAGAAAACAATACACATGAATTTAACTGGTTCGACAATGTACATATGATCACTATACGGCGCAAATAAGTCCACTAAATACGAATATGGTCATAATAAATATTTTATATAAAGCCTAATCTCGAAATTACCCTTACAATATCATATTGTTTCCATACACCCAATTTATATGCGTCTAACCTAATGGGCTAATTAATTCTTTTATAGCTTTGAGCCTACTGGTTCATCCTTCCGACTCCGTCAATTAACCTCCTATAGACAAAAAATAATAATGAATAAATAAATAAAATGACCCCCCTATCAACAATTCTAAAACAGAGAGTGAATTGTAATGATCCTAAATCCGTCTTGTTTTCGTTAATCAAATTTATCATCAAAATTCGACATATGTGGGTTAAAGAAAATCCAAATTCTATTAACAAGAAGAAGCCTAAATTTCTTTAATAATTATATAAAATTCACTTATTAGAATATTATAATAGTAGCATGGCTCACATGGACCAGTCTCCATTAAGCATGGTTGGTGGTTAGAACAGCATTTAAGAGTAGGACGGCAAGCACAAATCGTTGGGCCAAACATCCGTATTAGTTTAAACAAATAGATTTTGTAGCTGGGCATTAGTTTATTATTGATTAAAGGCTCCGTTTGATTCTCATTTTTATTAAATTTATTTTTTTCTCTCTTCTTTTTAATTGCATATTTTTTGTTAAAATAATATTATACGTAAATTAAAAAATTTTCCTTATTTTTTATTCATACATTCTTTATCAATCTATCATTCTAAAATTCATTTTCCCATAAAAATGGGTGTCAAACACCCTCAATATACAAGTGACAACTGAAGGGTCAATCAAATTGAATGGGTTGGACAAAAATCATAAATGGAAACATGTCCCTCTCGAAAAGAACGTGGAAGCAAAAATGGTATCTCAGACTATGCGGTGGGGTTGGTGATTGTGTGCTCATATTCAATACTTGTTTGGTAGGAATTTCGATAATTGATTTTTTAATCGTTAGAGATAAAGTGGATTCTGTCTATGAGAAAAAAATTAAAAAATGATGGCTGTAATAGTGAAATAACGGCCAAAAAATTGATTTTAATTGTCTTTTTAGCTGTACCAAACAAACTCTCAATTTCTCGTCTCATATTCTTTAATGCAATACTTGTAATAGAAGTGATTTATTACTAATTTATATGACAACGGGATAAATCAAACAAATGTGCTCTGTGTACAACCGAGTTGATGGTTGACAATTAGACACATGGGAGGGGACTCACGTTGAATAAAAAAAAAATCGTGAGGTTCCCTCCTCTAAATACATTGTCAACCCCGATTGTACAAAAAAATAATTCTAAATCAAATTTGTGTGTCAATAATGGTAGAAGTTTATCAGACCAAAGGTCCAAACAAATTTGAGCATGAGAAACTCTTTTTATCTAGAAGATGAAGTTAATCCAATTATCAATTTCGAATAACATACGTCGAAATCATTGTTGCAATGCTCGATAAAAATAAAAACAAACATATTCTCTTGTTCACGTGAAAACTTTGAATATGATATGAATTTGGATTGGAAATGAAATTTCTTTTGAAATAAAGATGAAGTAATGATGCCTTCTTTTCTTCTTACAAAAAATTACTTTTTATACCTTAACTTGATTAGAGATTTGTAAGCAGAAAGATGAATAAACTTTTGCTAATTTAGCCCTTCTTTACCTCTATTAAATTAAATTTAATATATATATATATCTCTCTCTCCTACTTTCAACAACACAATCTTTCATAAAATAATATCATACATAAATCAAAAGAATTTCATTATTTTTCAACCATCAATTCTTTTAAAAATATTATTCTACCCATTAAAATTTGAAATGATGGGGGCTATACGAGGGCTATATTGGTTAAAACTGTTGGAATAATTCTAATATGAACTTCACGTTTGATTGTTTATTTTACGGGTTAGATATATGGCTCATAATGATATTGTGATTGAGCCAAAATAAATTAAGTGATTAACTGAGTATTTTACACCTTACGGACTATTTTTAATATGATGTGGTAATTTTAAGTATGTGGGTCAAAAAATATATTTAAATCCTAATTAGAGTCTAAGTCATAATGAGATGACTTGATAATTCCCTATATAAAGTCTAGGTTCCATCTCCCGTCCATATTGCTTTTATTCGCTTTCCTCATTGATGGCTAATACTTTATGAGGAGCAATGAGGGGAAGATTTAGCTGCTATTATTTATATCTGTGATGTCTTCCGCATGTATGATTTTGAATTATTAATTTATTATTTTGTGATTCTTGATTCTTAACATGATTATCATTAAATTCAACAATTGGTATCAGAGTCTAATGCTAAAATTAAAATCCTTCATAAAAACAATATTTTTTCTTGATTTCGTACTGAATAATTCTAAACTTTCTACAACTTACCAATTCAAAGTTTTGAAATTATTAAGTTTTCAAAGTCTTGGAATTTTTGTTTTTTTTTTTAATCTGACTTCTAGCCACCAGCTGCCATTCAAGTTAAATGTTTGGAATTATTAATTTTGAAAATTGTAGTAGCGGTCCCTAATCTTTTCATTTTTTGCAAACTTTACTCTAACATTCATTTTGTGTCAACAGAGGTTCCTAACCTTTTATAAATATACACTTGAGATCTATCTGGACGGAAACTGTCTAAAACACCGTCAGTTGACCGAAACAATTAAGGAATCAACATCTAATAAAACCCTCCAAAATATCGTCCAAAAACACCGCCCAAAAAGGTATCAACATCCAATAAAATCGTCGCGATAGCAAATAGTTAAGAAATTTTTCAGATCAACCGACAGTGTTTTAGACGATCTCCGTCGAGATGGACCTCAGGTGCATATTTATGAAATGTTAGGGACATTTGCTAGCACAAAATAAATTTTAGGATAAAGTCTACAAAAAATGAAAATATTAGGGACCGCTACTACAATTTTCCCTTATTAATTCAAAGTTTACAATTCCAATTCCACAGTAATTTCTCTTTCCTTTTTTGCCTCGATTTCCTCGTTTTCAAGTGTTTGCTAAACAAATGTTATTGTGTGTTTCCTATAGTGCCCACCAGTTGTTTGATTTGGGTCTTCAACTAGTAGCTTCATTGGCAGAATTGAGTGGCTTTATGATGCCTCCTAAATTTAGATTACCTTCTTATATATTAAAAGGGGGTGTAGATATAAAAGAAGGTTCAATTATGAGAAAACAGATGCTTGAGTCTTTATTTATTAGCTAAGCCTTCCTCGTGACACCCCATAAGAAGAATTGCTTTGTCACTGAAAAGTCAGAAATACTTTTATCAGCGCTTCGCAATCAAATCTTATCTTGTCATGTTGCCTACTACCTCTTTACCTCGTAGGAAAATGAACTCTATAACCGTTGGAAAAATGGGTTTAGTGGTTGACTTTGGCATAAAATTTGAGTGGAACCCGTTGGTCCAATCTGAAAGATCAAAGTTGATCCGTGTTCTCCTTCATAAGAGCATCAAAATCATATATTTACTTACCAAAATTGATGAATGAATGAATGAGAAATTGGAGCTCAAAGTTGACCATTGAAAGATGATTTATGTGGAAAAATAGGATTTGTCTCACATAGGAAAATAAAGAAAGTATGAACAACTTTATATATGGTTACACTTTGGAAGGATGCAAATCAAGAATCGAAATAGTACATCGAGCCTTGAACTTGTGAGCGGACGCAACCTACGTACACAAATATTGAACCGAACAGGGCAAAGATTGGCTCCTTTGGAGTGTCCACGTTTTGTTAT